GAAACTGCAAGAACTTTCTGGAGGGGGGCGGAGGAGGGGAGGAGGCCCAGATTTGCATGTTTAGGGGAACTTGGCCAATCCCCAGGCAAGAGGCCAGCCATGGTGGCCAAGGGAAACCCTTACAAGCAGCAGAGCCTGTGCAGCAGGGGAGTTGTGGCTGGAGTCAGAAGAAAGATAGACTGAGAGAATGCTGGAGTGTGGAGCCTGGGAGGGGGCCTCAGGGAGGGGAGCTTACCTACATGTGGGATACTGGAAAGAAGGATCTCCACTGCCCAAAGATTCCTTGGGAGGACATCCTGTGCAGCAAGGAAGGAGCCAGACTAGTGTAAAGCCTGAAAGCAGCTACCAACCCAGGACAGTGGCAGTACTTCTGCAGCCCCTGGGCCAGATTGAGGGAAAGGGCAGCCAGGTGCAAGACCCAACTAGTTCTCATCTTGGACTACTTAATTGCTAGCTCTTGGAATCCCTTGCTCAGGGATACCCTCAGTGCAGCTGGGTGAAGAGGAAGGATTCATCTGGGGTCTGAGGAGGTACATGAAGAGGACTACAATGCTCCTTAAAGAGACAGTGCTATTTTCCTGATCCACATTTTTTTTTATACAGTGTACAGGTTGCTAAGAAATTTGTCCTCAAGTCTGCAGTTCCTTGAGCATCCCATGTACCCCTAGACCCCATCCAAGTTGTTTAGTTGTTAAAACAACTAAAGAAAAATCAGCTCAAGGACTGTCTTACTGACTGTGTGTAAATGTGGAAAATACATGTTGCCTAGCATTGCAGAGCTTAGGGGGACCCAAACAAACTCAGTCGGTTCTGCAGGGGGTAGAGCTACATACAGTTGTTCATCATTATCTAATATATATTTTTATAATAATTTACTTTAATAATAATTATTACTTTTTACAAGGGGAATAGTTGTACAAAGTCTTTTGCAAACATTTTGCTTTGTTGGAATTGGAGGGAATAGGAAATTATTGTCATTCTAGAGCTAGCTAAAAAGCAAACTATGGAGGACCTATACACTAATAATAACACCTACAGACGCCGGCCCACAGCACCTACAGACGCCGGCCTACAGAACCTACAGACACTGGCTTACAGCACCTACAGACCGCCACGACTAGCCAGCAGATGACCCAGCCACCCACCACTCTCCTTCTCCTCCCACAGATGAACCTGGCCTACGAGACCCAACTCAGCCTTCCACGTCGTGGCCTGACCCGGCCCTGAGGCCCTCCTGCCTACCCCCGTGAGTAGCGAGACCTGCCACAGCCTACCAAGATGCGGCCTGACCCTGACCCGAGGCCCCCCTCTATCCACCCCCGAAGTAGACTTGGCGAGCGACCCTACCCTCGGTGAGGCCTACCATCCCGGACCTCCTGTGGCCACTGGATGATCAACCCTATCCTGACCTGCAGCCCACCTGACAACCCCCTCATAACCCTCCAACCTGGGACTCAGGATTGCAGTAATCTATCGGCCCCCCGGACCCGTTTCTCACTTCCTTGACGACTTTTCCGCCTGGCTACCCTTCTTCCTCTCCTCTGAGCTACCCACCATCATCCTTGATGACTTCAATATCCCTACCAACGTCAACAACCCAACTACATCCCAACTCCTCCACTTAACCTCTTCTTTTGCACTCACACAGTGCACACAGTTCTCCACCCACACCGACGGGAACACCCTGGACCTCGTTTTCTTTCATCTCTGCACAACCTCACAAACACTCCTTTCCCTCTCTCTGACCACAACCTCATTACATTCTCCGTCTCCCCATCCTCAAACACCTCCCCCCCCAAACGTTAAACCATCATCAGCTGTAACCTCCGCAACCTGAACCCAGACCCTCTCCACTCTGCAGCTGACTGTCTTTACGACAGTATCCTTCCACTGTCCTGCCCTGACCTGGGCATTACTGCATATAACAACTCGCAGTCAGCTGCCTTAGATTCCTTAGCACCCATAACCACACGCAGCATCAGACCCCGACCGCTTCAAACCTGGCAGAACGACCACACCAAAAATCTTAAACGACGCAGTCACGTGCTGGAGCAATTATGGCGCAAAACCAGATCCCCTCAAAGCGTTCACCCTTTACAAATCCGCCTTTCTCACCTACACCTCCTCTCTCCATGCCACCAAACAAGCCTACTTCGTAACCCTCATCAATACCATCTCCACCTGTCCTCGCCAGCTCTTCTCCACTTTCAACTCCCTACTCTCTTCCCCCCCCACCTCCACCCAGTACCTTACTCACCGCCCACGAGATTGCCAACCACTTTCAAAACAAATTCGATGCAATCCGTAAGGACATCGCCAATGCTCAATCTACCTCCCCACCTAGCCTCCCTCCCACGATAACCCCCTCAACTCTCCCCTCCTCTGACCTCGCAACTGCCCTGGCCCCCACCACACCCAACATCCCGCACACTAAAAGCCTCCCCAACACTCCACTCCTTCAGCCTTGCTACCACTGAAGAGGTCACTAAGGTCTTCTCAGAAGCCCGCCTTACCACTTGCCACCTTGACCCTGTCCCCACACAACTCCTCCGGTCTCCCTCCTCCTCCATCCTACGCTCCCTCGCCCACATCTTCAATCTCTCCCTCTCTACTGGTACATTCCCCTCCCCCCTAAAGCACGCGCACATCACTCCCATACTCAAAAAATCCTCCCTGGACCCCACCGACCTGAGCAACCTTAGACCCATCTCCCTGCTGCCATTTACATCCAAACTCCTCGAGCGCTTAGTCTACAATCGCCCAATCACCTCAATGACAACAACCTCCTAGATCCACTAAAGTCTGGCTTCCGTCCCCTACGCTCCACCGAAACCGCACTACTCAAAATCACTAATGACCTGCTAACCGCCAAAGCTAATGGCCACTACTCAGTCCTCCTACTCCTCGACCTCTCTGCGGCCTTCAACACAGTTGACCACCCCCTCCTCCTTAATAAACTATACTCCATTGGCATCAGACACTCCGCTCTCTCCTGGCTCTCCTCCTATCTATCCCAATGCTCCTTCAGCATTACCTATAACTGTTAGGAATGGACTGGCCAGCAATGGTGGGACTCACCTGCCTTTTGATCTGCAGTACCAGGGCTGGCCAGCGGGTGCTCCCAGCAATCAGAGACTCAACCTTTCAGCCAGCTAACACCTGGAACTGATGATGCTGGGGTATTTAAGGGATGGCCAGACCCACAGACTCTGCCTTGGTGTTGTGTTTGTCCTGGGCCCTGTATCTGTCCTGCATCCCTGTTTCTGTCCCTCTGCCTGACCCTCTGTACTACGCTGCTTGTTACCTGTTTTGATCTCTGGCTTGTGACCCTGACCATCCCTCTGCCTGACCCTCTGTACTACGCTGCTTGCTACCTGCTGAACCTGGCCTGTGACCCCGACCATTCTCCGCTTGCTCCCCCTGTACCTACCTGCCCAATTGATATTGACCCGGCCTGCCTGACGACGCTTGCTTGTATGTACTGTTATCTGTGGGTGGTTTGGTTTGGTTTTTTTGCACTGTATTATGTTTAGTATTGCACTGCGTTTATGTTTGTATGGTTAGTGTTAATAAATTGTATTGTTTATCACATATCTGAAGTCTGCGTTTCCCTGCATCAGTCACGCACCTCTGGTCATACCTGGGAGCCCTGACATTACACCAAGGCCAATCCTGACCAGAAGTGGCTGCACAGGGAAGCCATCTTGGCTTGTTGATGGGAAGGATGGATCTTGATGAGGTTGAATATTTATATCTGCTAGTGTTTGATGACAGGGAGTATGCTTATCAAACTCTGAAGGAGTATACCCGGGATGAACTGCTAGAATGTATACGGCTCGCTCATGTTCTAGTAGATCAGGGCACAGAGTTCTCTGAGGTGCAGCCTTTGATTGAGGTTTGTGCTGAGTTGGTTTCATCTGGTTCCCCCGAATGCAGGGATGAATTTTTGCCACCATTTAGTGCAGACCAGGTAGAGTCCCTGGTGTGGTTATTAGAGGATGATGTGGGTTACTTTCTGGAGCGTTATTCCACATGTTCACCACAGACACTAAGAGATTGTATAAACGCAGTACAGTCATTGACCAGACAGGCTTTGTGTAAGCTCAGCTTTGTTCAACCCATACTGCAGACATGGACAGATTTGTTGCACCCAGCCTCAGTCAGCTTACAAAGACCCAGTCCTGCTTCTAATCTATTTCCCTCAAAACTCTATTCCTGCATTCCCAACAGCTCCTCCTGCCCTGCTATCTACCGCATGTCAGTACCCTGTTCCCACTCGCTGCACCTATCCTGCCTTTAACCCTGTAAAAAAAGCCCTCTGTAGCAACCGCTCCCTCTCCTGTTCCATCCTCCAGTTCTTCTCTGTCTCCATCTGCTCCATTCGTTTGCAGACCTGCGTTTACTTGCAGTGCTCCAGTAGTTAAAACCAGAAAAAAGCAAAAATTCTTTCCAACCAATACCATCCTGCCAGTATCCCAAACCGGTGAGCCTGCCTTCCGTGGTTCAGCCTGAAGCCTCTACTCGGCCCTGAAGCCTCTACTCGGCCTGAAGCCTCTACTCGGCCTGATGCCTCTACTCGGCCTGAAGCCTCTACTCGGCCTGATGCCTCTACTCGGCCTGAAGCCTCTACTCGGCCTGATGCCTCTACTCGGCCTGAAGCCTCTACTCGGCCTGAAGCCTCTACTCGGCCTGATGCCTCTACTCGGCCTGAAGCCTCTACTCAGCCTGAAGCCTCTACTCGGCCTGATGCCTCTACTCAGCCTGATGCCTCTACTCAGCCTGATGCCTCTACTCAGCCTGATGCCTCTACTCAGCCTGATGCCGGTACGCAGCCTGATGCCGGTACGCAGCCTGATGCCTCTCTTCAGCCTGATGCCTGTATGCAGCCTGATGCCTCTCTACTCGGCCTGAAGCCTCTACTCGGCCTGATGCCTCTACTCGGCCTGATGCTCTCTACTCGGCCTGAAGCCTCTACTCGGCCTGAAGCCTCTACTCGGCCTGAAGCCTCTACTCGGCCTGAAGCCTCTACTCGGCCTGATGCCTCTACTCGGCCTGAAGCCTCTACTCGGCCTGAAGCCTCTACTCGGCCTGAAGCCTCTACTCGGCCTGAAGCCTCTACTCTCGGCCTGAAGCCTCTACTCAGCCGGACGCCGGCATTCAGCCTGAAGCCTCTACCCAGCATGATGAATGATCCAGCCTGACGATCCTATTAGGCCAGTTGACTCGATGCCCGCTGTTGATCCAGATGATCCGGTACCTGATCCGGTGCCCGCTGTCGAGCCAAATGACCTGATGCCTGGTGACCCAGTGCCCGCTGTCATACCTGGTGACCCGATGCCCGCTGTCGAGCCAGACAATCCCGGTACCTGATGACCCGGTGCTCACTGTCGTGCCTGTTGACTCGGAGCCCACTGCCTTGCCAGATGACGCGGTGCCCGCTGTCGAGCCAAATGACCTGATGCCTGGTGACCAGTGCCCGCTGTCCAGCCAGACGATCCAATGTCTGACCCAGTGCCCGCGGTCATACCAGTTGACTCGGAGCCCCACGGTTTGTGCCTGGTGACTCGGTGCCCGCCGCCCCCGCCTGGGGGCCTGAGACCTGTCGTTCCGCCTGGGGGTCCGGCGCCCGCCACTCTCCGCCTGAGGGTCCGAGACCTGTCGCCCCGCCTGGGGGCACGATGCCTGTCGCCCCGCCTGGGGGCACGATGCCTGTCGCCCCTCCTGGGGGCCCGGCGCCCGCCGCCCCGCCTGGGGGCCCGGCGCCCGCCGCCCCCGCCCGGGGGCCCGGTGCCTGCCGCTCCGCCCGGGGGCCCGGTGCCTGTCGCCCCGCCCGGGGGCCCGGTACCTGCTGCCCCCGCCCGGGGGCCCGGTCGCTCCGCCCGGGGGCCCGATGCATGTCGCCCCCCCGCCCGGGGGCCCGGTGCCTGCTGCTCCGCCCGGGGGCCCGGTGCCTGCTGCTGCCGCCCCGGGGGCCCGGTGCCTGCTGCTCCGCCCGGGGGGTCCCGATGCATGTCGCCCCGCCCGGGGGCCCGGTGCCTGCTGCTAGCCCCGCCCGGGGGCCCGGTGCCTGCTGCTCCGCCCCGGGGGCCCGGTGCCCTGCTGGCTTTCGACCGCGCCGGGGGCACCCGGTGCCCCGGCCCGGTGCCGGTGCCTGCTGCTCCCGCCTGGTGGCCCCCGCTGCCTGCTGCTTCGCCTGGTAATCCGATGTGCCTCTGCCCGGAGTCCTGCCCGATGTGCCTCTGCCCGGAGTCCTGCCCGATGTGCCTCTGCCCGGAGTCCTGCCCGATGTGCCTCTGCCCGATGTGCCTCTGCCCGGAGTCCTGCCCGATGTGCCTCTGCCCGGAGTCCTGCCCGATGTGCCTCTGCCCGATGTGCCTCTGCCCGATGTGCCTCTGCCCGGTGTGCCTCTGCTCGATGTGCCTCTGCCCGGAGTCCAGCCCGGTGTGCCGCTGCCCGGAGTCCTGCCCGGTGTGCCAGTCTTTGATATCCCGCCAGTTACCAGACCCGGGCGGTGGAACATTTTGCCCATCTAGGACTGTTTGGAGCGTCCTGAGGCCGCTCCTTGGGGGGGGGGTACTGTTAGGAATGGACTGGCCAGCAATGGTGGGACTCACCTGCCTTTTGATCTGCAGTACCAGGGCTGGCCAGCGGGGTGCTCCCAGCAATCAGAGACTCAACCTTTCAGCCAGCTAACACCTGGAACTGATGATGCTGGGGTATATTTAAGGGATGGCCAGACCCACAGACTCTGCCTTGGTGTTTGTGTTTGTCCTGGGCCCTGTATCTGTCCTGCATCCTGTTTCTGTCCCTCTGCCTGACCCTCTGTACTACGCTGCTTGTTACCTGTTTTGATCTCTGGCTTGTGACCCTGACCATCCCTCTGCCTGACCCTCTGTACTACTACGCTGCTTGCTACCTGCTGAACCTGGCCTGTGACCCCGACCATTCTTCCGCTTGCTCCCCCTGTACCTACCTGCCCAATTGATATTGACCCGGCCTGCCTGACGACGCTTGCTTGTATGTACTGTTATCTGTGGGTGGTTTGGTTTGGTTTGTTTGCACTGTATTATGTTTAGTATTGCACTGCGTTTATGTTTGTATGGTTAGTGTTAATAAATTGTATTGTTTTATCACATATCTGAAGTCTGCGTTTCCCTGCATCAGTCACACACCTCTGGTCATACCTGGGAGCCCTGACAATAACGCTGCGACCTCTCCCCCTCTCTGTTGGGGTCCCTCAAGGCTCTGTCCTTGGCCCCTTCTCTTTTCCATTTACACACCTCCTCCCTTGGCCAACTGATACACTCCCACGGCTTCAACTACCACCTCTACGCCAATGACACACAAATCTACCTCTCTACCCCTCGCCTCACCCCTTCAGTCTCCGCCCGAATCACCTGCCTACTGAACGACATATCAGACTGGATGTCACTCCACTTCCTCAAATCTAACCTTTTCCAAAACCGAGCTCCTAATTTTCCCCCCAGCCCGCGCCCCCCCCCCCACCCTCTCCATCACGACCAACAACGTCACCATCATTCCCACCCCGCAAGCCAAAGTCCTAGGTGTCACTCTAGGCTCAAATCTGCCCTTCCAACCCCATGTCCAATCGCTGACAAACTCATGCAGGCTCCACCTCCGCAACATCTCCAAAATACATCAGTTCCTAAAACACCAGACACTACTAAACAACTCATTCACTCCCTTATTATCTCACGTCTCGACTACTGCAACTCCCTCCTCACCGGCCTACCTCATCACAGACTACCCCCGCTTCAGTCTATCCTGAACTCAGTGGCCAGACTCATCCACCTTACCAACTGCTCCGCATCTGCCACCCCCCCTTTGTCATTCCCTCCATTGGCTTCCGATTGCCCAACGCATTAAATTCAAACTGCTAACATTGACGTACAAAGCCATTCATAACACTGCCCCAAACTACCTCACCGACCTGATACCCAAATAACACCTAACCCGTACCCTTCGCTCCTCACAAGACCTCCTACTTTCTAGCTCCCTGGTCTCCTCCTCCTGTGACCGACTGCAGGACTTCTCCAGGACTTCCCCCATCCTCTGGAACTCACTACACCAATCCATCAGACTGTCACCTACCCTCCTCACCTTTAGGCGCACCCTGAAAACCCATCTCTTCAGGGAAGCCTACCCCACCCTCACCTAACAGCCGATCTCCTCCACTCCTCCTACCCACTCCATCCCCCACAGCCACTTCCTCCTGTACCACTATCCCCTCCCTCTTAGATTGTAAGCTCGGAAGAGCAGGGCCTTTGAACCTCTCGTATATTGTTTTGTTACTGTATTGTCTCTTGTACTGTCCCCCACTATATTGTACAGCGCTGCGCAAACTCTTTGGCGCTATATAAATACTGTATATAATAATAATAATAATATACAAGGAAGATCATTTGTGTGGAAAAGATCCCTTTTTACTCAGACATGCAGATTAGTGTTTACTGTATGTTAGGCAAGCTCCACATGAAAGGTCATAAACATCACCAGCTTATCTCTGGATAATAAATAATGAACATTAAGGAATTGCATTCAAATTTCCACCTCTACGGACTCATTTTCCAGTGCTACTCTATTTTCCAGGCCACAAAGGCAACAGTGATATAAGGGAATATGTGATTTGAATTAATAAATGTTTCAAATATACACAGGAATGCTTAATTTTTTTTTCCTTTGAAACTCAGTAAAAAGGAGAAAAGTAGAAGTCTTCTATAACAATGCTAAAGTGATAATGGGTATGGTATGTGCAGAATAGGAATATTGACTTTGTTCTGACAGACTAAAACTTTCTGGCATAAAAAAAACACAAACTGATTAGTATTTCTCTATGTGAAAGCATCAATATTACAGAATAAATTATTTTAACCACTTCAAGTCCAGACACTATCACTTCCTTCCAGTCCAGGCCAATTTTCAGTGGTGGTGATGAGAATGCTGGTATGGCGGTGATCAGAACACTGGTATGGAGGATGGTGGTGATCAGGATGCTGGTGTAGGGCATGGTGGTGATCAGGATACTGGTATGGCATATGGGGTGATCAGGTTGCTTGTATAGGGTGTAGTGGTGATCAGGGCCCTGGTATGGTGTATGGCAGTGATCAGGATGCTGGTATGGGGTGTGACGGTGATCAGGGTGCTGAGGTGCTGATTATGGTGGTGATCAGGGTGCTGGTATGGGGTATGGTGGTGAACAAGACTCTGGTACGGTGGTGATCAGGACATTAGTATGGTGTAAGGCCATGTTATTGTAAGCACTGGGACAGGTGACAGCTGCATGTTTACTACTGACTACAATGGGCAGCGATCAGGGACACTGGTGCAGTAATCAGGCACATTAGGGTGGCTGGCACAGCAGTCTGTGAGTGTACATGCAGCCTGACAGGCTGATGTACACTCACAGGCTGCTCCATCGTTTCTCTCAGCTCTCACAGTGAGAGCATAGAGAACCGATCTTTACTTTCACTTTCAGTGTTTACAATGTAATTGGTCACAGATATCACATGGTAAAACACTATGTGATTGCCCAAACACAGCGGTAATGTGATCCGTTTTGTCCAGGCAACATACAGATCGCCTGGCTCCCAGGTGTGTGCTCTGTAAGCCGCACAGGAGCTGCTGATATAGGCTGATGTACAAGTATGTTAGCCTGCAACAGCAAAGGCTCCCAGCCACCATCTATAGGCATTGGGCAGGTGGGAAGTGTTTAAATAACAAAAAATTTCAAATGGGTATATTAAAACTTTTTTTTTGTCTGGGAGTTCAGGGAGTTGTCTGGGAGTTTTCAATTAACTTCTTTTCCCAGAAATACAACGAAAAGTTAAAGATAAAAGGAAAAAACGTTCACGCTGTAATACTTTTGTTGCCAAAACAGGTTTCCCCTTGCCAGGAGATTGCCAGAATGGTAGAACATTCTGAAGTAATGTTCTTGAACTTTCTGAAAATGCTGCAGTACTCCCAGCCTTTCTGCCTTTGGGACATTCCTATTGGCCCATGAGGTTTCTGATCATAGGGGACTGACCATAATCAATGGCAGGGAGCAGGAGGTACTGACAAGCTCTAATGCTATCTAAAATAGCCAGAGATAGCATGAGGACTCGTTCCTAGCTTCTTCTAAATGAGTAGTGCTGACACAGCAAAATGGTTGAAATGTTTTGACTTAGTGTAGCACAAACTGTACAATTGTTTGTGTGACAATTTGTAGAAATATCTAGAAATCACACTCTGCTGGATCTCTTATAATAGAACATATAATTATTACAGCATAAGTTACAAAATTGAAATTGCAATTCCAACCTAAACCTAGCTAGTCTTAAAAGTGCTCCCTCTTAACACCTATGCCAACTAACCTTTGTAAGAAATATGTATATACTTGCCTATTTTCTGCCACTTTGGTCCTGAAAATCAGTGTACAGAAAGAGTGATGATAGAGCAAATGTTAGCTTCTTGTAAACATTGAATCATCTGAAAAATTTTGGACCATGCTGCCTAAAAGATATAGTTGTCCTAAAATCATCTCCTGGCTTTAGACTGTTAAATTGTTATTGGCACATGCAACTAGACTATTGATTGTGCGAAGTTGA